ACAGGGGAGGAGAGGGTAAAATGTAAAGACAAGAGAGGAGATGAGAAGTTTAGTGCATGTGTCAAGAAGCAGTTAAAGGGTTAAAGGGGAAGAATGAGATCATGACTCTGTGTGTGTGCGTGTGGTCAAAGTGTCTGTCTGAGAGAAAGAGAAAGAGAGAGAGCAGTATTCGCTGTAGGCTCTGACTTTGACCCACACAGGCTGCCAGTAAGCAGGCAGCTGACAGCTTGGCTAGTTGCCATGCGAACCCAACGCCTCGGCAACGTGCAGCCTGCCTCGTACACAGCAGCGTCGTGGAAACAGTTACCAGGCACGTCTGTTTTACTGAGTCAACAGCAGCCACTGGTGGTCAAATCTAGACTTTCATTCATAAAAACCAAGATCACAGGAGGATTTCTCATTAAGTGTAGTGGTTACAGATGTGAGAATCTTATAAACTGCTAGATCAGGACATATTTTTATACTGACATCATGTCATTTTTAACCATTAATTAGACAGATGAATCAGTTTGTGTATCCCTTCACAAGTAAAGACATAAGACATTTTTGATTATATCACATCATGCACACACATCTCCCTGGCTATTGCTAAATCGTCCCCAGATATATCCACACATTCTTACTCCAGCTGAAATAATAGCATCTCCATACAGCCAGCAGGACATCCTCTGCTGTAACAGTCTAAAGAACAATCTCCACCAGACCTCGATCAAAACCCAAATCAATTCAATGCCTCAGTACTTTTGAATTAAAGTAGAGGTTGTAAATCAAACAATGAGTCTGCAGCAAGCACGCTGTCCTTTGCTTTTTGGGCCACAAAATAAAAAGAAATACAGTACCTTGCAGACTTTCCAAGATTTCATAAAGATAAAGTTTTGTAATGCAAGTCATTGTGGCCAGAGTTATCTGGATTGTGCCTATTGCGTAAGCAAGTAAAAGTAATAGATGTCAAGGCTGCCCTGGGAGGCAAAGCAGGATGCAAAAGAGAAATAATGTCTTGCAGACTTTCCATTATTGCACAAAATAAAACCAGGTTTCCAGTCTGGACGGCAGCAGGAAGTGACAAATCAGTGTGTAAAACAGCCACAGTCTGAGCAGGATGATCCATGTGTTCTGTCTGACATAACTTATTTATAGCAATTAAAATTTGCAAGTACATATAAAACTGCACTCAAGGGTAGCTGTTAAAATAGCATTAGCTAAAGCTGATTTAACCACGAATTACCATTGTAACTTAAAAATACATCTTTATGCTCCAGCATCTTAGTAATTAAGTTTATTACACCACACAAATAAGGTAATAGATAAATGAAAGCATAAGAGAGAAAAAAGTAACCTCAGATAAATTAATCCTGCTACAGTGCAACAGAAATACAGCCGCTATCTCTATAGCATTTGATGTGGTTAAACTACATTGAAAGCATGCTGTGCAGTTCACAGTGTTTAATTCAATATTATTTTGCAAAGGTAGCTTATGAGGTAAAATAAAATGGAAACGTGAAAACACAAGATCATATTTTGTTTGTAGAAACTAAATTTCCCCCAATCTGTTTAGATTTTCTAGTTCAGTTGCAGAATGCTATTATTTTTTAGATTCTGTCTGTGACACACTTTTGCTTTCAAACTTCAAATGCTCTTCTCTCACCTTCACTGTCTTTAGTTACTGCTCTACTGTGCAATGTTATTATTTTTTTAAGCTCTGGTGATCAGAGCCAGCTCAAGGAATAAGCAAACCAAATGTTTTCTTTGGGCCCCCATGGCCACCCGGAGATGTCCCACAATAGTGCTTTTTTATGCATATGTGCACTGAAATGGCCGTTAAATGCATTTTGATGCAAGCACAGTCTGTCAGATCCAAATGTAAGATTACATGGAAAAAGCAACAAAAAAATAATGTCACAAAAAAGGACATCTCCATCTTGAGCAGAGAAAAGAACGTAGAAGAAAACAAAGGATGAGAAATAACATCTAGTTAAAGTTATGTTTGCATTACTAATTACTAATTTTTGCTGGTTTGTTTTGTAGTAAACCATGTTCAGTATGCCACTTAGTATTTAGCACTTTGTACCACTCTTGTGAGTTTGCTATTTTTTAAGATTAAGAATCACATGGGTAAAAACATGCCAGACTGACAATGATATGATGTAAGCAAACAGCTACAGTTATTAAAATTAATAATGGGTGTGTTAGATTTATAGTATGTGTGTGAATGATCAGTTGCTGACAATAGTTAATAGTATTAGTGGCACAGAGGAGATAGAGGACCTCCCAAAAAAAATTTGGTTAAGGCCCCATAAAGACTTGGGCCGGCCCTGCTGGTGACAAAGGGCAATAGCACAGCATATTTTATGTTAATTGATCGGAGGTTTGAACAGCCAGAGGACTCAAACTGGATGCAGACAATATGCTGAATACAGAGGAATTAGATAACGGGTGCATTGCACCTTTTCTGTATTGGATGAGACCTTGGGAAGGTTATGTCACGAGTCAGCAACCAGCCAAGCAGACAGGCAGAACCAGAGGGGAGTGCTGATGTCACCGGCATGAGCCGAAGAACACAGTGCCAGGGTTTGTGTGTGTCTATTCATGCAAACAATTGTGCTCACAGACATAGTTTGTATATGAAAATGCAGTTTTTGTGAGAATGCACAAACAGCAATGTAAATGTTACAAACCCCAGTAAGACACAAAAGAGGCACAGCTCTGTGGCTTTTCTTTTTCTGTAGCAGCACCTTAGGGTTTTGACTGTGCAGCCTCCTTTCAGATGCTGCACATATTCTGACCTATATGCCAAATTTCTGTCTGCATCCCATCCATAAGTGTTCAGTTCCCCTGTCTTCTGGGTTGGATTTTAGAGGCATGAGACGTAGTGTGACTACCAGCATGATATCGTGTGTGTTGGTTAAAGGAGGGGAATCAAACTGAACTGAATCAGGGGTGCTGGAGCTGGGGAGGCACAAAAATGAGAGTGGCAACTGTGCTTCTCCGCAGCTGTGGGTCGGCAGGAACTCTGTGTCTCCTCATCTCACACACACACACACACACACACACACACACACACACACACACACACACACCCATTCACTCTCTTTCACCCCTCCACTCATTTGCACTTCCTAATAGATGTTTAGCAGCACCCCTCACAAACCCCCACCCCCTACCCGCCTCATACTCAAATCCTTCTTGCACTGTTCTCCCTTTTTCTCTATCATTACTCCCTCAGTTCTCCCCCATTTCAGGTTCCAAAATGGTAGGCACCTTGACAATGAGATGTGTCGTTTTTTTGGCCAGGCACCAGATATCTGAGATGACTGAAAGAGAAAGTGAAGAAGGCAAAGATTCTACTTCCCACACACGTGCACACACACACACAGAGAGTCAGTACACATTCAGCCGATCTTACCTAAAATGACCTAGAAGGGACACATGTATATGCATATATGTCTGTTGTCACCAAAGCCAATTTAATCAAATCATACGTATGCACATGCAGTAACATCCATGCCGGTGAACATCGTTTGACTAGTCTAGTACTGTAAGTTTGAGAGCAAAGGTCAGAGGTGATGCTAAACACAAGATTTAGCAGAATAAAACAGAGAGGAGGAAGAAGAAAGAAAGGAGGAATGACGATGAGAAGGCAGAAGGAATACAACAGGAAATATGATGGATAAAGGACAGGAGAGTAATGAAGGACAAAATACAGTGTAAGCAAGTTCATGCATTGCTGTAGGACGTGATGTCTGAGAGTAAATCATAATTCCAAGATAAAGGGCTGAGTTGAACGGGGTGACTGTCCTTGTTCAG